ATTCAGCATTGACAAGTGTTTATAAACATGCGCTGTATAAGATCTTCATACAAATTTAGTTTTAAGGTGTTTTTGTTTTTGTCTTTACCAGAGAGGAAAGAACAATGGGGAGAGGGAACTAGGAATTTAAAGTCTACATTCTATAAAAAATAAAAGACTATTTTCTATAGGAGAGCGAGAGAGATAGTTGTAAGTCTCATTAGGTCTGAGTGTGTCCCTCTAAAAAGCCATTCAGGGCCCTAAGCTCTCTTTCACATGTGACTATGGTAAGATACAGCGCAGATCTACAACTTTTTCAACAAATTGTATTGACAGTCTCCAATGTCTGGGCATTGTGCGAGGCTTTGAGAAAAAAGTAGTATATAAAACAGACACAATCCCTGCCCTTTTGAAGTTTATAGTCTAGTAGGTAAGGGAGGCAAATGATGTAGYGAAAGACTTAAATAGTTTCATAGATTGGATTCATGAAGGTCCCCATCAAGTGCTACAGAACACGGGACCACCAAGTGTCCAAGTATAATATTTAGACATGAAAATCAGAACTGCAGAGCAGCCAGCAATGTACAAAGGGTTTTTAAGCAGTGCATTTCCTCCCTCCCAAAAGAAACATCTTCAACTCAAATTTTAAGTAAGCCAGTTCTGGAAAAATATATCCAAATGTGGTTTGTGAGACAAGACAGTATGGCTACGAGGATCTAGAAAACTCTCCAATAAAGTAGCCAAAGAACTGTCCACATTAAAAGAATTGTTCTATTCTGCACTACCTAAAATAGTAGCCACTCATGGTGGGGACTATGAAGCACTTGGAATGCTGCTAATGAGACTGGGGAACTGAATTTTAAACTTTGTTTAAGTTTAATTAAATTTAATTAGCCACATGTGGGTATGGTAAGATACAGTGCAGATCTAGAACAAGATATGTTAGCTGGGGCTTGCTGAGCACAGCTGCTTCATTTAACTTCCTTTCCTTTCAGACAGGGTTGATAACCATTTCTCCCCCCCCCCCCCGCCCTCCCACATAACATCATGTGCTGTGCAGGGTATCCAATAGGGAGAAATCAAAGACAGGCTAATAAAATAACAAGTGTTAGGAGGTAGAGAAATTGAAACTCTTGCATCTTGCTGGTATGAATGGAAAATGGTGCTTCTGTTGTCAAAATGGTATGATGCTTCTGCAAAAAATTAAACGTAGAATTATTGTATGACCCAGCAATTCCACTTCTATGTACGTACTCAAGAGAAATGAAGGCAGGGATTCAAAGAGGTATTTCTATCATGTTCTTAGCAGCATTATTCATAATAGCTAACAGATGGAAGCAACCCAAGTGTCCACTGATGATGAATGCATAAACAATATACATGTATCATATATATTTATATATGATATATGTATTATATAGCATATATTTATATGTACAAAAATATATATACATACCATAAAAATAAGATTATACACACACAAACACACAGAGACAATGGAATATTTATTAAGGCTTAAAAAGGAAACAAATTCTGATGCATTCTATGATGTRGATGAACATTAAAGACTTTATGCTAAACGAAGTAGACCAATCACAAAAAGATAAATATATGATTCCACTTATATGAGGTACTGAAAGTAGTTAAATTCATAGAGCCAAAGTAAAATGGTGGTTGTGAAGGGTTGGTGGGGAGAATAGGGAGTTGGTATTTAATGGGTACAGAGTTTCAGTTGGGGAGCATGAAAAAGCTCTGGAGATGTACAGTGGCAGTTACCTGACAATGTGAATGGATTTGATGCTGTAGAATTGCACATCATAAATGGTTACAATGGTGAAATGATATATCAGAATAAAAGAGGAGAGGTTAAACACATTCTCTAGCATGGAACAAACGAAATGGTAGTTGATGATTACTACATGGTGKGGGGAAGTAGGATTAACACTTGGCTGAAGGCTGTGGCAGTGTCGCATGCAGTTCAGATGGGTGGTTGTGTTAAATGACCTCCCACTCCTGAGATCTGATGGCTTTACAAACCCTGAAAATTTGGAATGCCAATGGTGTCCRTGATGACAAGTTTTCATATGGCACCATGTCCCTCTCCAAGTGTTGGCCTTGCGGAACTATCTATAGTCCTCATGAGTTTCCATTTCTTAAAACAAAAACCAAAACAACARTAAGACCAAGAACCAAACTGGAGGTGAGAGCCAACTTTTCAACAAAATTTATAAGAAAGAAGACAAGCTGAGGGTGGAGCTCAATGGTGAAGCACTTGCTTAGCATGCACAAGGCCATGGGTTCTATGCCATCTCTGCAAAATCAAATGCAGAAAAAATCCAAGAAAAAATCCAAGAAGACCAACCAGGGATTTTGGTAGCAAACTGCCTTACTGACAACTTCAAACTAAGAGTATCAGAAATAGAACTCTTAATTCCCAGCAATCCTCTCCTTGCCACCTCCCACCACCCCAYTACCTACATCTCTGGMGGTCTTCCCCATCTCAACWTAAGGGCCTCTTTTCTTCTAGCTGCCCTGAGTAAAAACTTAACTCTTTGACTCTTCTTTATCACATYCTACATTTCATTGATCAGCAAGTCCTTGCAGAACCTGACCACTTCTCAGCTCCACTATTATGGCTTCATATTAGTCAGCACTTTCTACAGAAACAATCAAGAGAATAGCTAGCTAGCTAATGCACATACAAATGTATTTATGAGGAATTGGCTTAGTTATGGAGGCCAAGAAGTCTCAAGACAGCATTCAGCAAGCTGGAGACCCAGAAGAGTTGATAGTGGAGTTCCAGTCTGAGCCCACAGGCCTGAGAAGCAAGAGAGCCAATGGTATAAGTTTCAGTCTGAGTCCAAGTTCAAGGTGGGAGAAGACTGACATCTCATTTCAAAGACAGGCAGAGAGAGAATGCACGGTCCTGTACTCAGCCTTTTTGTTTTATTCAGGCCTTCAGTGGGTTGGATGAGGCCCACTTGCTTGGGGGAGGGCAATTTGCTTCACTAAATCTACCAAATTTTAATCTCATYCAAAAACACACTTATAGTTATACCCAGAATAATGTCTAGCCAAATATCTAAGCATGCCATGGCCCAGTCAAGTTGATGCAYAAAATTATCACGGCTACCTGCTTCCATCTTTGTCCCTTAGTCTATCCTCATTACAACAKTTCAGACACATCATGTCACACCTCTGCTAAAAATTCTCTAGATGTCTTCTACCTTGATTAAAGGAAAATTTAAWAACTACCATGACCACTAAGGCCCTATAGGTTAGGTTCTCCATCTCTAGCCCCACCCTCTCTTACTCTATTCTTCCCAAACATGTTTCTCCAAAAAGCCGATCAGGCTCTTGCCTCAGAGTCTTTATATCTGCATACCTGTAAGCTTAAAGTGGTCTTAATCCAAAAATGCACACTGTTTCCTCCCTCAATGATTTTCTTATCTTAAAGGCCTTTGCAATAAATCCATTTTTAAAATGTAGCACTTCTCACACCTCTATTTTCCTTCTTTTTAAGTTAACTATATTTTAGAACAGTTTYAGATTTACAAAAATAATGCAAAATGTATAGGGAATTCTCATAAACTCTGTTCCCAGTCCCACCTATTATTACCATCTTACCTTAGTATGATATTCTTATCACACGAATGAACCAATCATGACACTTGATTAACAAAAGCTCATACTTCATTTGGACTTCCTCACTTTTTACCTAATGTTCTTCTTCTGTCCCAGTATCYCATGTAGGATATCACATTATATTTAGTTTTTAGGTCCTTTAGGTTGTGGTGGTTTTTCAGACTTTCTTTGTTTTTGATGACTTTGACCTCTTTGAGGAATATTGACCAGGATTTTGAAGGGTGTCCCTCTGAGTATTTGACTTTTTCTCCTCATAAGACCAGGGTTATGGGTTTGGGAAGGAAGACCATAGAGAGAAAATACCATTTCCTCACCATATCAAAGGTACAGAGCATCAATATGATTTGTGGCATTGGATAAGGTACTGTTTCTCAGGTTTCTCCTGTAAAACTACTTTTCCTCCTTTCCACCTTGTACTTTTTGGAGGGAGACAGTATGCACAGCCCAAACTTAGAATGGAGAGTCTCTTCCTTGGGAGCAGAGTATCTACAGAAAATATTTGGAATTCGGGGGAGGGGGGTGGTGTCTTCTCTTCCCATTTATTTATTCAATAATTTATTCATATGAGAATGGACTCACGAATATTTTTTACTTTGAGTTGCAATCCGGTATACCAATTGTTCTCATCTTTGGCCATGGGAGCTCTTTTAGTCCTTCCCTGCGTGGTTTGACATTCCCCCATCAACGCAGGGTGTGTGTGTGTGTGTGTGTGTGTGTGTGTGTGTGTGTGTGTGTGTGTGTTTTACATAAGACACACTTTCTCTGTTTCTCTCTCTACACTAAATTTACTGCCATAGCCTTGAGGGCGAAATCTTGGCAGGACTTTTACCACAGTGGCAGCCTTAGTGTTATCCGGTGAATGAATGGACAGGGCTGGCTTCGAGTTTCACTTGGCCTGTCCTAGGCTGGCCATGGGAAGGCTGCATACAGGTTGCTGTGACCCCAGCCTCCAGGGCCTCCGCCTCGCAGGTCGGGGCTGGCTCAGGGCCGGGTACAGCCTCTGGCAGCCACACCCACCTCCCAACAGTTTCAAGCGTCCCGGCCACAGAAACGCACTGGACTGCAAATGTCACCAGCTCAGCGGGGTTTCCCCGGGCAAATCCAGCGCCCCGGACCGGGCCCACCTTCCTGGCCTGGGGGCTAGAGAAGAGGGGAGGGAATGCCTGAAGCGGAAAACACTCTCACGGGCTTGACCAAGCCGCCCACGGCAGCGTCTGGGGGCGCACGGGTGAGGCCACCGCGTGTCCGGGGTTCCGGGCAGTCAGCAGCGCGCTGACTGCAGTTGGGGCGGGAACCGGCGCGCGGAGAGCGCTGCCGTCCCGGGGCGGGGCCTGGTCCCCAGCTGTGGTGGCTTCCCCAAGCGGCGGGGGCTGGGCCGGCGGCGCCCAGATGCGGCCGCGGTGGCGCGGAGCTCGGGCGGCAGTGGATGATCCCAGACTCGGCTGCGGCGGGAGTCACGGAGAGCGGAGCGGCGGGGAGGCGCGCAACAGGTTTCCCCGGCGTCGCGGCCCCCACCGCGGGACGTGCGCCCGAGCAGCACGGACTGGTCRCCTCGCACGCTCGCCCCGGATCGTGGTTGGTTTTTTTCTCTGTGGGTCCCCTTCCCTCTCCCTAACTCGCCCGGAGCCAGGACGCGCCTGTCCCGCTGAGCGCAGAGCGCGGGGTGCGGCCAGGACCCCAGCTGCTGGGTGCCGGATGCTGTAAGGTAGGTAGGATTACGGATCTGCCAGGTCCCCAAGCCGCCTCTAGGTATGTTGGGGACACGCGGCATTGGGTTTCTTCTGTAGAGAGGAATGCCTTTTAAATCTCCATTATTATTATTTTTAAATTATAGAGGACAAGGGATTGAGGATTTAGTGCTTCGTAGGAATTATTTCCAACCTACCTGTTGAGAGGCAGCATTTATTAAGCATCTAACTAAGACCACTTTTAAGTTGAAAGGTTGAAGTGTTACTGTTTTAATTAAGGGGGACTGCATTTCAGTTCGATCACATCTTCACTTCCTATAGGGTGCTCTTTCTCAAAAACACCAGAGTGAATACTCCTTGACTTGAACTTGATGATATGACTCAGGAACCAGGAAACATGGAGACGTTGTTACAGCCTTGAAACAGTTTCCACAGAAAGCCTTTTTTTTCGTTAATAGAGAGAAGTAGTGGCAGCGCCTAGAACCAYATTGTACCGGGAGGGAATTCTCTCCTTTTCTACTCTCCACTGACAGCAGAGATGTGCATGACTTCCTGTGGTTCTCACGCACTTGTTTAAGCCATTTCTCAGCAAAGGGAGGAGTTGTTATTTGCACATGAGTATCCAAAAATGACTCACAGGACTGCTTTCTTAATTGTGAGACCTTGTTAATGAACTTTTGAAAAGTTTGTGCTCCGTGCTTCATCTCCTTCCCCCCCCCCTTCCCCCTCAACCATATTTAAAATAAAACTACAGATGTGAAATACCTGTGCTGCCAAACTGGGGCAGGCCGGGTAGAAAGTAACTATTCAAGTTTTCAGTTTCTCAAAGTGCCTAATGGGACAACATACCAGCTACAGTCACTAAGCTGATCTAAGATAACTCTTAAAATCATGTGCTTTGCCACAGAAGCCCAAGAGAAAATTAATTTCATCATTTAGTACCGTTTTACTATTCACAGTATGGTAAAAATAAGTCATTTTATGAAGTGATGGTAAGTCCTCTGAAATCAAATATTTCAGACAGTTTGTCTTTATTAAATTGGTGCTATTTCAATTGCTTGAAAATTGTTGAAGAAGGTGGATATCAGAGTTGAGAAATTAAAATGTTAAAGCAGACAAGTTCCACTGTAGCTTTTAGAAAGGGACCCTACAGGATGTCAACACACAGTAGGGAGAAGGAACTGTCAACTCCCTGGGAGCTGACTTGAGCTGAGTTCCACCTGAGACAACAGTTCCCAGGCACCCTCTGTGCCAGCTTCTTTACCTAGCTCTGGTTGTACAACCAGCCCAGGGCCTAAAGATTCAGGGAAGGCCGGCAAGTTATATTAGAAAATTCAATATAGCAAGGGGCGTGCTATCATAAGTTACAACCAACGTGGAGTTTCTGTCCCAGTCTTACTGATGTTTCTGCAGTTCTGGGATTTGGAATGCATTAGGTCATTGCTGARAGAACAGGGAAGGTTTTAGTTGAGTCATCAGCTTATCTTTGTAGGCAGCCTATTCTTCCTTCAACAAGTGGTTTAAAAATACACTTGAGAGGTATAATTTTAAGGAATTTGAGTTAACCATATTTCATATTACCTAATGACCATATAAAAATATACCATCTATTATCACCCCTGGATAATTGCAGGCACTTTCAGTTATGTGCCTTTTAACAAACGGAGTGACTAATTAATAGCTTATAACACTATGTTGAAGCAATTTTATGCTCATTATTCTTGTACAGAAGTCTGTCCTGATCTGAGGTTTGGCTTTCCATGACTTCAGTTCCCTGGGGTCAACTGAGCTCCAAAATATTAAATAAAAACTTCACAAATAATAAAGCATTTTGAGAGACAAAGAGAGAGGAAGAGAGGCCATATTCACATAAATTTTATTACAATATTATCATAATATTAAGGTGTCATAATACCTTAATATTATGATTAATCTCTTCCTGTGCCTAATGTATAAATTAAACTTTATCATAAGTATGTGTATAAAAATACAGTATATATGGGATGAATATTATCCAGTTTTAGGCATCCACTGGGAGTCCTCAGACCATATTTTTCAAGGATAAATGGAACTACTATATGTTAAAATTTCCCATTTCTCTGAGATAGTCAACCAGAAGAGGAACCAATGCTAAATTTTTACTTACATTTTCACATTTAATTTCTCCTTTGAGACCCTCAAAGTTACATTTTCTATGAGGAAAAAAAAAAGGTTAAGAGTTTTATTTATCACTGTGCTCCCTGATCTTGACAAAGGCCTGAGTCATGACAGGTATAAGAAGTATTTATTGATTTGAATAATGAACCTTACATGAGAGGAGGAGCTGTTTGGTAGATAGAGAGGTAGGAGACCCCAAAGAAGGAAGAACACATACAGCAGAGTGCAACAGCATTGTGTGGTCAGGAAACTCCAGCCTGTGGTGTGGGCACTGGGGGAGGGCTGGAGAGACAGGCAGGGCCAGATCACCAAGGTCCATGTGCCAGGTAAGAGCTGTGGTTTTATCCTAGATACCTTTGAACAAATGGATGGTGTTGTCAGACACATGTTTAAAAAACAAAACAATTTAGGGAAATAAGGCATAGAGTAGAATAGCTGAAAGTGACCTTGACCTTACATTATTATAATATCCGAGGTGAGAAATTAAAGAAGGCTTTAATGAGGCAGTGACAGTGAGCAATGGAAAAGGGGGAAGGAGCTGAGAGATGTGCAATGGGTAGAACCCAGTTGCAGTTTTAAAGTGTACAGTGAGAAAGGGGGAGGAGTTAAGATGATACCTGCATTTCTAGTTAATGACAGGATAGGATCATCCTACTAAGTGGAAGAAAAGGTTTGGGCTGGTGAATGATGAGTAGCTTGCACAGTACTTGACATATAATCAGTGCTCTCCTTAAGCAGTTTTGGATGGTTAATAATAGCTAAATACCTGTGCTAGATACTGTCCTAAGTTCATTACGTGGATTAAGTCCTTTACTCCTTACAGGAATCCTGTGAGAGAAGAAGCTACCTTGATGGGTGGAAAAAGTGCAATGTTAATAGTTGACAGAGCCAGGAATTGATCCCAAGCACCAAAGCATGCATTCTAACCACTCTGCTCTAATATGCTTCTCAGTGAACAAATGAGGTTTTGGACTATGTGAACCCAAGTTGGAGTCATTCTCCTCATCCCAGCAATTCTTCCCCTGCCAGAAATACCCGCAATATACAAGATGGGCCCCCAGAGGCCCTCTTGTGCCATATGGCACCCCTTCATCACCATCATTCCAAAAAATACACAATTGATCTAGGAATAAACGTGGAGAGATCAGAAATTTCTCCTGGGAATTTAAACATTTTAATGGAGACTCACAGGACCTGAAGTTTCCCAGAACTTCAACCATTGTTTCCACAGGGCTGTCTTGGTTACCATACTTTCCCAGCATTGTATGTTCAGCTCTTGATGTTTCTTTTTTCTTTTGGGGTACTGTCTATTGAACCTAGGGTCTTGTGCATGCCAGGTAAGCTGTCGACCACTAAGCTATACCCCAGATCTTTTTATTTTATTTTGAGCTAGCCTCTCACCAAGTTGCAGAGCTGGCCTCAAACTTGCATCATCCTGTCTCAGCTCCTGAGTGGCTGGGATTAGAGATGTATGTGTGTTCACTTTAGCTGGCAGCTTTTTGTGTTTCTTAGGTGTATTTTGTTGCTAAGCTTTTCCACAGGGAGGCAGGAAGGCTGGATGGACAGGAGGTTATTAATCTATGGATTGGGCTATTGGTAGAAGAGTCACCTAGCAAAAGTAGGTAGGGACGCACCAACTTCAAATCGTATGTTCCTGCCTTGTGATCTGTCATCTGTGGCCTATTTTGTTCTGGTTTTACCCTGAAACAGGTGCCTTACCTGCCTCTGCTGTGTCCTTGCCCTCTAGGTTTTAGCTTGGCAGAATGATTCCAGTTTCTTGGATTCAGGTCTTGATTTCTATTTGAGGTATCTAAGTAGATGCCTTGGTCCCCCAAAAGGCATTTGGAACAACAACTCTATCCCTCCCACTACCCATCAAAATGTCTAGCCCAAATTCATCACTATTCTGTTTGATGATTCAAGCTACCCTGATTTGGGTTGACACCCTGATTTTTGTTCAGAAAGCAGGGTCTGATTATCTTTTCCTCAAAGACTGTCAGTTTGGACCAATTAAGAATTATAAACAATGGCTGGGCACTGTGGCACATGCATGTAATCTCATAGGCTTAGGAGACTGAGGCAGGAGGATTATGAATTCAAAGCCAGGCTCAGCAATTTAGCAAGGTCCTAAGCAATTTCGTAAGACTCTGTCTCAAAATAAAACACAAAAAGGTCTGGGGATGTGGTTAAGCGCCCCAAGGTTCAATCCCTGGTACGGAAAAAAAGGAGTTATAAACACTGAATTAATATTGTACCCCAACTGAATCAGCAAAGTTGCTGGAAATTTTAAGCTCTAAAATGTTCAGATATCTAAAACTTAAAGTTTTAAAAGTTTTCTTCTCATATGAATTACGTGTTTCATTTGACATTTCTTCAGATTTACCAGGAGATCAAGATGTTGTTAATTGCCCACTGTATGAGAGCAACAGAAAGCTTTCTGGGGTGATCCACACACCGGTCCCTCGGTTTTGATTCTGTATGACCAGCTGTAATCCGTTCAGTGCTTGGATAATAAGAAAGGGAAAGGTTTCAGCCAATATTTCATGTGGGTTTGTCCTGCTTCTTCACTTCTTTGGTTTTTCTGAGAGATGGGAATTGCTGGAATTGAGCACTCTGGTAGATCTGAGTCCCCTCCCAGTGCTAACCATTCTATGATTTTCCCTGGCAGTGAAGCGCTCTGTCAGCTGAGCCCTTGTGGGCCACTCCTTCTGAACCTCTCAATACCATCCA